TTTATTTATTATTTTTGTTTTATGTGTATGCGTGTATTGCTTGCATGTAGGTAAGTGCACCCATGTCATGCAGTGCCCACAGAGGACAGAAGAGGCTGTTGGATCCCTTGGGACTGGAGTTATGGACAGTTTAGCAGCCATGTGGGGTGCTGGGATTCGAACCCGGGTCTTCTGCAAGAACAACCAGTTTTCTTAACCACTGAGCCATCTCTCCAACCCCACTCTTACCTACTTTTTAGTAGGTTGCTAGTTTATCACCAAAGAAGAAGTGGAATTATTAGCCAAAGTGTATTTATTTTAGAAATGTTAATATCACCAGATCTCTTTCCAATTGGCTGTATTAGCATTCAACTACCAGTCTGTAAGTGGACCCCAATTACCCGCTACTTTGCCAGAATTTGATTCTAAGACTTTAAAACATTTTTTAGACAATCTGTAAGGTGCATCTCATTTTAATCTGCAGTTTTTTTATAGAACAAATTTTTGTTTAATTACATTTGTATTACATTTATGTATCTGTGCTTGTGGGGAGATGTCACAGCACATGGAGATGTCGTAGCACATAAGGAGCTCAGAGAACAACTTTTGAGAGTCAGTTTTCTCCTTCCACCATGTTGTTCCAGGGGATCAAATTCAGGCCATCAGGTTTGGAGGCAAGTGCCCTTACCTGCTGCGACTTGTTGGTGACCCAGAACAAGTTTTATGTGTCTTAACCAGCTGCATTTCTTCCTTGTTAAACTGTCAACAGTGCTAATCTTTTAAATGCTGTGTTTTTCTAGGCTGGCAAGGAAATGGGTATGAATGTCAAGATATAAATGAGTGTGATATAAACAATGGCGGCTGTTCAGTGGCTCCCCCTGTTCCGTGTCAGAACACACCTGGATCTTTTACCTGTGGAAACTGCCCAGCAGGTATGGCACCAGGTTTCCTGATATCATTACCAGAAACATGCCTGTCTGAGGCTCAGATCCCAAGCAGTAGACACTGCAAAGAGTATGCCATCAAAACAGAACCTTAAAACGTAAAACAGAATCTTGTGCTCACTTTAAAAGCACTTGGGAGGCCAAAGCAGGCGGATCTCTCCGAGTTCAAGGCCAGCCTGGTCTATATAGTGAGTTCCAGGCCAGTTGGGGCTACAGGGAGACCCTGACTCAAAAAAAAAAAAAGACTTCTAAGACAAGACACAGAATGGTGTAGGACTTTTAACTTGTAGACTTAGAATACATTATCATAATAACATAAAAAAGCAGTCGAAAACTATTTTAATAATAGCAAACTGGCTTTTATGAACTGTGAAATTGCCACCAAATAATACAGATTGGAAATTTTTTCTGAATCTTCAGCTCTATTTCCCCATTGTTACTACATATAGTTTATTAAAATGTTACACTCATGGGATATTTCACAGGTAAGATTCATAGACATGTACTATATATATTTTTTAGTTTCCTTTTTCTTTTAAAAGAAGTCATTACTACTGTTCTCTAATTTAAATTAAATTGCTAGCCAAGAAATTCAGAGTTATAAGCAATAAGCCAACCTATTTGTGTTCTAATAACATGAATCAATAGTATTTTAGACTTCTCTAATAATTTACCACCAAGAATATCAGCCACTGAAATTAAAACTTGTTTGACATTTTAAGACTCCTAATGGGCACACACACACACGCACACGTACACACACACACATGCACACACACACACACGCACACACACACTCGTTATAAACAGAGCATTGGTTATGAGCTCCCTTTACTAGTTCTTCTTTTTCCTCCTGATGGAGTTTTGTTTGTGGCATTTATATCTGCATCTTTTTGGATAGCAAGCTGTCTGCAGCATCTGGGCTCTGAGTCTCAGATGGGCACTGTCTTTCTCCCAGACTCTTGACACCATTTCTTACCCCCTGCCCCGCTTTGTTCAGGATACAGTGGTGATGGAAGAGTGTGCACTCTCCTGGACATCTGCTCCGTCAATAATGGAGGCTGTCACCCAGATGCATCCTGCTCCTCAACTCTAGGTAACGGCTCACCTCTCTTTGCCCTTGAGTGTTTTAATCAAATCTTTTAAATAATTCTACACCTTGAAAATAAAATATTCCTCCTTAAAATGCTTCCTTTTCTGATTCTCTAGCCCAGGCTAGCCTGGAAATCATACAGTCCTCCTGCCCCAACTCCCAAGTGCCGGTACCATAGGCATGAGCCACCCCTCCCAGCTGTCAAAATTCTTATTTTGAACTTCCAAACAAAAGCCAATCCACATTATAAACCCATACACATGAATTATTAAAATATGCAATAGGCTACACTCTTTCATGATATACTCTGATTTAGGAATTGACTCCCAAGGTAATTAAGCCAAATAATTAATTAATGACTTTATTCTAGTAGGCAGGGTGGAGAGAAGGAGGAGGCCAGGCCATGTCCCTTGAACAGCATTTCGTTTCAGTGCTGTTGGCTAACACTGTGTCCCATGGCCATGCCTGGCAGCAGAGGAGGGCTACGAGGTATTGAAAGTATTTCAAGTATCATGAATTCAGCTGAACAAGGAGTTTATGACTAAGGAGGGGACTGACTCTAGGGAGATCTAGACCCTGCAGGGTTTGCTGTGCTGCATGAAAGAGGACTCGTCTGTTAATACAGCGATGTATTTCTCTGAGAACTGTGGCGCATTGTATTTACTAACCCACAGAACTTGAAATAGTTATTTACCCAATATGACCATCATAGATACTATTCTTTTTCATCTTGGTCCATTTTAGAAGCAAAAAATTGTTGCCCATTATTTTTATCTGCACTTTTTTATTGCTAATGAATAATTTTCACATTTTTATCAACTAGTTTTTCGTTTGTTCCTATGCTTTGATCACTTGTTTTCTTACTCATTTGAAACTTTTCATTATGTTCTACAGATGGTGTCTTACCACCTGTCTCATGTTTTACAAGAGTTTTTTTCATGGCATGTTGCTTTCTTGATTTCATGTACGTATTTTCTATTTAGAAAATCAAATATGTTATAGCCCAAAATGAATCTTTTTCTCCTCTTAGAGTCATCTTGAGAAAAGTCTTTAACATCGAACTCTGCAATTAATCTAGTACATTTTCTCTGGCACTTTTGTATTTATTTTAAAACTACATCTTTAGTAGTTTTAGAATTTTTGTTAATTTATGGTATCAAATTGAAACCTAAATTATTTTTGTTCAGTTGAATAGCTGCAACTCACTTATTTAACATAGTCCTTACTATTTCAAAATTTCGTTTTTATTCTTAATAACATGTCTTTAATATGTAGGTACAAATAAGAGTATATACATATACACAGGCCTAGACATATAAATTCATATGCATCATACACACTGTGACCAAATGTTTATTAAGGATTTAACTGTATACTGATGTGATCTAGAGCAGAATTTCTTAAAGAAAACTAATTTCTCTCTCGGTTCTACCATATTCTTACTGCATGTCCAAGTCAAGACACTATTTGTGTTTCTGGTCTTCCTTCTGTGAAGTAACAGCACCATTTCATAGGGTTCTTGGGAGAATGAAATGAGTCCATATCGATAAAGTGTTTGAAACAGGTGCTACTATGAGGAGAACTCCGTTTTAGTATAGGAGACAGCTGTATCATTGGTGACATAAGCAGCACTTTACATACTTTTAACTTTATCTTCTTTATTGCGATCTCTAAACTCATTCAACAGGTAAAGTTGTAACGGTGTTGAGTTTCTTTAAGCCATTTTCTCCCAGTAAATATTTTTAGAGAAATAATTACTTAAAAGAACGTATCTCTATGCACCCATTTTTGTAGAAAGATACCTGTGTATTTTATTTTTTTAAATAAATGTTGTCCACGAAGGTCAGAAGAGGGTGTTGGATCCCCTGGAACTGGAGTTATGGACAGTTGTTAGCCACCATGTGGGTGCTGGGAATCAAACCCAGGTCCTCTGCAAGAACAGCCAGTGCTCTTAACTGCTGAGCCATCCCTCCAGTCCCCTCAATCATTACTTTTAATTTTATTTACTGATTTACTTTTTTTTTTTTTTTTTTGTTTTTTGGTCTTTGTGAGACAGGGTCTCACTGTAGTCCCAGCTGTCCTGGAACTCACTATGTAGACAAGCTGGCCTTGAACACACAGAGATCCGCCTGCCTCTGCCTCCCGAGTGCTAGGTTTATTTACTTTTATACTATGTGTTTGAGTTTTGTGCCTGTGTGTATGTAAGTGCACCCATGTTGTGCAGAAGAGGGTGTCAGATGCCCCTGGAACTGAAGTTATGTTATGGATGGTTAGCCGCCATGTGGGTGCTGGGACCCAAACCCTGGTCCTCTGCAAGAGCAGCCAGTATTCTTAACCCCTGAGTCATCTCTCCGGTCCCCAAGATTAATCAGTTTTTAATTCTTTGTGACCAAGTTCTTTCCCAGGCCTCTTAGATAATCGTTGCTTTAATTTTGTGCATGGCAGGTGAGGAGAGGTTAAGGATCGTGGGAGGAGCTTTGGTATTTCCATCCTGTTCGTTGTGTTACTGCATTGTTTTCAGCTGTGGTCTCATGGCAAACCCTTTAAAAACCTCAGATTCATTTTGCTTGAAGCTGGAAACACACAATCTGCATGTGCACAGCCTTGAATATGTGAAACTGCCCGTTTAGATGCTGCCCCTGGGGTGCACCTGGTAGCTTGCAGACAAAGCTTCTGTTGACTCTTTCCATTCAAGCCATGTGTCCTTAGGACAGTCTGTGTGCTTTATCGTTATCTGTAAGATGCAAAGTTATAGTAACGTCTGTTTATGGGGTTATCTAGAGGATTAAAGCACTCTTTCTATATCTGTAGATACATACGTATATATCATGCTTGCAACTATTGTCGTAAGACTCCTAATTTTACTAACAATCCCTCCCTGATGAGGAACTCCCATCTTCTTTTTGTGTTCTTGTCACTTGTATGTAGCTCAGGACCATCTGTTGTATGAGACAACAGCATTATTAACTCCTGTGTAAGACATTAGAAGCATTCAGTGTTTTTACTTTCTCCTTGCCTTGCATGCCCTTAGGAATATGTGAACATGACAGTGCTGGGTTCTTACTGCACTGCAGAGCTGAGATTCGTGCTGCTCTGCACCTGGGAGGATACCTGCGCTTACTGCTTCCTTTTTTGTTCGTAAACAGGTTCCTTGCCTCTTTGTATCTGTCCCCCAGGATATACAGGATATGGTTATGGACCAAATGGTTGTGCACAGCTCAGTAGTACTTGTTCAAGTGACCCGTGTGTAAATGGACAGTGCACAGTGAGTCTTCCTCTTCCTGGGGTGTGGAAAACTTGCAAATGATTTTAGTCTCAGTAGTATATTTTATGTGATTCATAAGTTTTAAGATAACAACTCAAGCTTTGTATTAAAGTCTCTAATTCTCAGACAACAGACAGGTAGTAACTTTAGTTTCTAGGAAAACCAATAAGCCAGTGAATTAATTTTTTATCAAAGTGGTTTTCAAAATAGTAAGTACAACGTACAATTGGATGGAAACAAATATGACTAGTTATACATAGCAACCGATAAATTTGTCTATTGGAAAATACATGGTGTGGCTCAACTCCGGTTAAATACAGATCTTTTGTTGTCATTTTATTGAGTTAGTTCTGTTGTATTGTTTGCCCATTTGTTTTATGGTATTATGTTTTCATTTCTCCTTAGGACACAGTCTCTGGTTATTTTTGTAAGTGTGAGCCAGGCTGGTCTGGAACCAACTGCACAGAAAACATTAATGAGTGTCTGAGCAGCCCCTGTTTGAACGGGGGGACCTGTGTTGATGGCATTAGTGGCTTCACTTGTGATTGCACAGGCTCCTGGACTGGCTATTACTGTCAGATCCCCCAGCAAGGTATGAGGGGTGCTTCTTGAACCAGAGATGCTCACAGCTTAGCAGTACCATTCTCCAGTGAGGTCTTTTGCATATTTGCCAGCTCAGCCTACTTTCCTCTCTCATTTAGATGCTGAGAACCCTTCCTCTCCTTGAAGGAAGGGCATAAATTCATAAGGTGGATCTTTGTTTCATTTTAAACCAGAGGACTTTTTTCTTCAGTATTGTTAGTGCTTACCGTGTTCATTATGTGTTTTCTGAGTGTAAAACATACTAAAGAATTGTCCTTTGCGTTTTCCTAAAGGAACACTTTCTGCATGGCAGCCATTAAATTTTCCCAAAATACCAAACTTTAATCACCACTCTCCTATTTGGTGACACACACTGGTTCCTCATTGCACAGTTAAATAGAGATTGGGATTGTTTTTCATTTTCTTGTATGACCAGCCTTCACTCTATCCATGTCACCTTTCCTCCAGCTGCCCAGAAATGCTTTCATTCAAGCCAGACAGATTTCTTTTGCCACCTGACCCCCGTGCCACTATATTTCCACTGTGTTCTTTTATTTGGGGTATTTCTCCTATGACCCTATATGCAAAATCCTCCTTCATTTCCTACCCAGATATCTGTTCCATATATATGTTTCAACTACGTATTGATATATATATATATA